AACAAATGAAGCATAAAGGATGGAGTGGATGCGAATCATGCATATTTAGTCAAATTATAAACAAAATAAATTCAAATTGTCTTAACCAAAACTCGAATTTGGATTAGGATAAATTGATACCAATCCCATGAAACTAAAATTTGACTCAAATTTTAATTAAATCAAATAGATTAATAACTATTAATCGAATGCTAGTTCTAAAATTCAGGATGAATGTCAAATCAGATATTGAATTAGGTAGTCTATTGACAACCCTAAGAAAAAATGGCAAATTGGAATGGTATATTTAAGATAATTATTAGATTTAGACGACCTAAACATTCTCCACTGCCGCACCCCCTTTGTAGAGTTGGAAGTCAGTGTCTCATGGATGTGCGGATGGGCCATGGAGTGAGATCAAATCAGACCCCACCAGATTGTCCACCCCCACCACACACACACAATGTCTTACAGCATATCCCTTGCCTTGTATTGGGAACATCTCTTGATGATTATTTCTAGTATTATCATCGGGAGATGTTCCCAATATACGGTGGGGATGTGTTGTGGGGGGCTGATTTGAACTCTGATGGAGTGAGTATATCAATCAAACGAGCTTGGGATCTGGTACTAAAAATGTTGGTTGCAATGTTGGCTTCAACGGATCCAATAGGCACAACATAAAAAGCACGTTTAATGTGTAATTTATAAATATTCTGACAACTGTTAAATATTATATTTAATTTTTTCGAAAGTAGATTGAGAGTATTTCAAGGGACAGGTGTCAAAAAGAATTTAAAGTTCCGTGCCCATCTGATCCGGAGTCCGGACTCAATATTGAGATGCCAGTTATAGGTCGTGAAGCATTCTGAATGGAGAGGATCTTTATTGAAACAGTTGTGCTGCCATTAGGTGATTAGGAGGTGCAATTTCGATCGCGCTCATCTAAAACTGGTCCAAGTCAACCTGAGGGCCGGATGGTTTCTCACAACCTCCTAACCCGCCTAGGACTGACTGGTTTGAAATAAAAAAAAAAAAAGAAAGAAAAGAAAAGCATATATATTTACAGGGAAAAACAAAAACTTTTTTTTTAAGCAAAAGAAGAAAACGCCGTTGCCGGGGATCGAACCCGGGTCACCCGCGTGACAGGCGGGAATACTCACCACTATACTACAACGACTTTGATATCGTTAGAACGAAAATCAAAAAGAATAAGAATTGGACAAATCGCACATGGTTGAGTCAGGTAATAAGTCGCTTTTTTTTTAGATATTTAGGAAGAGGCTTACAAAGTATTTGTAAGGGTGCAAATCGGATATTAGATTTGAAGGACTCGGAGTTTCGAATCATATCCATTAAAATTTTAATAAAATCCGCCAAATTGCACCTCTATTAGAAACCAGGAGGGGTGAAACGGCCCCTCACATCACAAAAACAAATGTGATGCGTCATGCGTCGTCTCAAGTTTCTGAATAATCACTTTGATTTCCTTGCCGGTTTTTATAATTGAATGTAGCTTGAACCCTTTGAATCTCCGTTTGAAAGAAAAAACAAATTAAAAAAAAAAAGCATTAAATCTTTACCTTGCGAGCCAATTTTCAGGCAGAGCTGCTTGGTCTCAAGTCTCATCAGTTGGTAGTGAGTAGTGAGTAGTGACCACCCAAATAAACACAGACAGGTCAGTTCAGTAAAGAAGATAATAAAATAGATCAAAGTCAGAGGTCCAGTTGTGCTTTTGAGTATTCCAGTCTCCCACATGTATAATAAGTTGAATGTCAGCTAGGAAAGAATAAAAAAAAAATCAAAAATCAAAGATCAAACCCTGATTACTTGACACATTTGTCACGTTTCTTGATTCAAGAGACCTGCCATGTTCATTTTAATTCTTTTGATCTTGACTTGATGCAACATGTGGACCAGCGAACTGGTGTCTCTTGTCAGATTATAAGTGGGTTATCAACTTTAGATAGAGCCCACCATTTTTTTTTATACCGAAATTCATGTTTCACATGCAGTGGCAACTTGATACCACTTGCCACTACATCAAGGCCACATGCACCACCCCCCCCCTCTCTCTGTCGAAAATAGACCTGGCAAAAAGTTGTCCCAACCCAACCCAAAAAAAAAAAAAAAAAAAAAAAGTTAGGGTCTCATTTAGTTACCTGAATTCGAGAATGGCCCAATCCAGAAAAAACTGGGTTGGGTTGGGTTGCGTTATGGTCAATTCGTTGACCTGATTGTCAGGTCTAATTGAGACTATTTATGCATTATTAGAAGTTTTTATTCTTTAATTTTTATTATTTAGTCTTTATTCTTTATTGTTTGTTCTTTGAATTGTTAAATGTTCAAGTTTTTTTATTTTACATTTGGAATTTTAAGGTTAATTCCTTTAATTTTGACATTTTCATGTATTTTTTCTTTATTTTTTTAAACTCTAATTATTTTTTGAGATGGCCCAAATTGACCCATGGCTCAACCCTAACCCGAACATTTAAGGTTAGGGTATAGCATTTGGCCCAACTTGAAATTCAACCCAACCCAAAATCAACCCGAAGTGTCTTGATCCAACCCGAACCTAATCCATCCAACCTAATTGCCAGGTCTACTCCTAAATAAATAACCCTCCTCCTATCTGCATTCTCTTTCATATAAGGCAGGGACATGCATTATTTTATTTCCATTTTAACAAATAAGACAAACTATGTCAAATATGAAACAAAAGTAAAGAAGAAGAAGAAGAAAGCTCTCTTTTAGTATTAAAACAGAAAGAGATGAAATCATTGCTGAGCCCACGCTTCTCTTCTGTGTGTGGTATGAAATTGTTCAGCAGTTTTTCCTCATTTAGTTGAGTTTGATGTTGCTCTGAAGAGAAGGAAGCAATCAAGCAACTTCTTGAAGAAAAGCACTTGCGTGGAATTAACAATTCTTTAGCTTTACAGTATTTACTAAAGAAGTACTTCTGTTAGGGGTGGAAAAGTGGCATGCATGTTGGTGTAAAGGAAATAAAACACAAATGGGTAGTATGGTCATTACATAAATAATATGGGGGGTTTAATGGTCATTAGATATTCAAAACTTCTCTATGTTTAATAAGCGCAGTTGTCCTTCTAAAGTTGGAAATCTGCATCAATTCAATAGAGGACCTTCTCGAGCCACTGATTACTACTTGATTCAGGCCCATGTTAGAGAGCCAGAGAGGAACCCTAACCAGCATGGGTTGGAAGTGACTTGGAACTTGGAACTTTAAACGCTTGCCGTGATTGGATTGGACCCAATCTCATGTTTAACTCCATCTGCGTTAACCTTCTTTGCTACCAGGCCCAAGCCCAGGTCGGCAGGTCCCGGTTGACATAATTCGGCAGCCCAACCAGTGTGAACACCCAAAACCAAAAGTGAAACCGGATTAGAATGGAAAGGATGAGCTGAGTTCAGCGGCCAAAATGGACCGCGCTACTCTGAGTCAACTCGACATGTCACGGTGGGTGTGGAACGGAAGTTGTGAAGTTGGGGTAGACGTAGATCCCAGAAGAGGAGCTTTTACCTACCCACAGCGGCGCATGCATGCATCTGACCATAGTTTTCAGTTTTGGTAGGTAAGTAATGCTCAACGCCCCCTAGCCCCAGCCCCAGCCCCCAAGCCCAACCCATTAGACTTTTGGAAAATTCCAAGCCAGACTAAAATAAATTCTATATTTCCTAGCCTCCACATGCTATACTATACACTTTGATTTCTAATTTCTTTCTTTTTCAAGCCCTAAGCCCTAATGCAAATTCGATTTCACCACTGGAAAATTTACGTCTCATCAGAAATCAAAGAACCCAGAAAATCCAGAACATTGGACCAGGTCATTGAGCAATTTTGCCTAACAGCAAATTGATGAGGAAGCAGTTAATGGGCTTCTCGGTTACGTATAATTAAAATCTCAAATGACGAGAATCAATCCAGAGACAAAGATTTGTACAGTCCAATATAATAACATTATGAATGCGCCAACCAACTGCCAAGGAGGTTGTAGATCTCAATTCACAGGGACAGGGAGGGAGAGCCACTCAGTGAGGCAGACGGATTTTGCGTCATTCTCAAGAGAAATGAATTTTATATGCATATGTCCTTAGCAAATAGAAGGGAGTCCTTCCGGCTCCAGTTCCAGGCAGCAAAGCCAAGAAGATGAACACACCTAACCTTCACAGCTTTCCTAATAACGAACCAACCAACCACTACCAGCATCATCTCTAATGACAGCGTCCAAGTATCAATCTGACCGGACAGGGAACCATTCTGGGTCTGGTTCCCGGGTTGAACATTTTGACCGTCTGGTCCAAATGGATGATCCGCTCTAACAAAAAATAAGAAATTAAAAGAAAAAACAAAAAACGACTAAAAACTATTGTCCGGATCAACAGTTCAACGGTTCAACCGCCCAGGTCAGCAGTTCGCTGACCAAATCAACGGTTTTTGGCCAAAAAACAGTTTTGGGGTGAAACAGAACCAGTCAGGTGACCAGTTCCCAGTTTTTCAGGTCAAGTCCAGAAAAAACCAGCAATTGAACATATAAATGAAAGAGAATTATGTCCATATTGTGGGCCGTAACCTGGTTCCTGGTTTTTTTTTGTGGGGGGGATGAATAACTTGGTTCCTAGTTTGTATTAAACAACATTAGATTCATTAGAAAGCAGTTGTCGTAAGCTTCTTGACGCTGTCAAACAGGGGGTGGTACAGGACACAGTGACCCACTATGTTTAAACAAGAGAGCAATCAATAAATGTCAACTTTCATCAACTTTGAAAGCTTTACGATTAAATATTGCAATTCATGTTCTTTTACTAGTATATTGCCCTGGCTTTGCGGTTGCAGATGTTAATAACTTAATCTTTTGCCTCCTCCCACGGGGCACTGGTCACCTGCTCCGAAACTTCAGCACACAGCAAATTCCCTTTCCAATTTCCAAAGCTGTATGAGTGCATTAAGTGTGTAACTTCTCATATCGTAGGCATGGATCACAAAAACTGATCACAAGACGGACAAAAAAATTCATCTCGCTGGCATTTTCAGTGACTCAAATAGATACACTGTTTATAATTAGAATTACAACACTGGAGTATCCCTCCCAACCCCAAATTTTACAGACTCGTTTTCTATAGGATCACTGCTCCCACAGCAGGACCCATCATGTACCGAAAATCCAACTTTTTGGGCAGCCATTTCCCTATGTATTACTCGTACCAAGATACATCATTTCTCTATATTCTTTTCCTGAATTACAATGGATTAAATGGGTATCTTTTCTGGGATTGGCTTATCATGAATGTAGGAGAGTGACAGTGGCTTAGACACACCTAATGAAACTTCCAACTCTCAAAGTCCAACCCATTTTACCCATCTAAAAACACGCCCAACTCTGAAAGGCAGCTCATAGTCCTTTGCAACTGCAGGTTCTCTCCTTGCAGTCTCAGTTTCGCACCAGACATAGACCCCACGCTCTTGCCGGCTGCCAGGTACAGTGTTGTCCAGAACCACAGCTATGAGGAATGCTACGATCATATGAAATGACAGTAATGTGTTCAAAACATAGTTTACCTGCAACAAAAACAATACAAAGTTACTCACCTGCTACAGGAAGAAAATGTAAGTGCTTATCAATGACCATCAGGACCATCTACCAATTATGCATTGACACAGGAGGAAGTATCCTTTAGATGGTAAGACTATTGTTTGATGGTTCCCACTTGGGAATCTAATAGCAAAACATGTCCCAGACAAATTACTGTCATTTAGAAACAATAGTTTCTTGAGATCATCCAAAAAGAACAGGATTTGTTTTCGGCCAACCAATCAGGTTAGCTTTTTGGCATAGAAATCTCGTCCTGTTACCCTGACAGGTAGTATAAATTTAAGCCAGGAGTGACTCAAAACAGAAGATGATCCCAAGAGGATCCATCTGCTGGTTTTCTTTATTGTTTAGCCAGTAGATAGATCCTCTTGGCATGCGCTAAGAAGTAAGAACAGTTAATTCCAAAGGTGCATTGTCAATAAAAAAAAATACCCCGCCATATTTGCCTCGGATAGGTCCATGAGATGCCACAATATATGGTTGGAAATAACTTGGAACAGAAGAATTAGCATTAGGACTGACACCATATTGCTGGAAGTAGGCAGGCACAGATAAGGAGAAGAAGAGAGAGAGCCCGACTATAATAATATTTCTAGAACTTCCTGCCTCACTGTAACGCAAGTTTGACAAGCCCAATGCCGCTAGCATTGCCCACATGAAGCAGAGTAGAGCAGCAACTATAACATCAGGAATTGAAGCAATAAAGCCCCCAACTTTACCTGTAGGCATGCAGCTAGGGTTGAAAAGAGTAGCATAAAGCAAACAAAAACTATGTGAAAGCAGAAAAAAAGAAATTACAGTTTCTCAGGAATATTGATTTATTTTCAACTGTTTAACTGTGCAAGTTCGGTTAATGGTTAAATCAGTTCTTATAACAGCTAGACTTTGATGACAAACAGAAGAATTATTCTCATCATCTCATGATGGTATATTGCACACTTGTGATTAGCAGCATTAGCCTACAAGTAAATCCATCAATCAGTAAAACAAAGCTCCAAAATCACATTAATTGGCCATCACAAGTTCTTATTATCAACTTATAAACCAAAACAGCTAGAGTGGGTGATTTAGCAGCAAGGCAAAGCCTATGCTCAGAATTTGGCATTTTTTTTCTTTTCTTTTTCTTTTTTTCCTTTTTTCTGGGGGTGGTCATAAATGATCAAAGTAGCTTTATTAACAAATAACAGTAAAAAGAAGGAGAAATCCCTATTCTTGGAAGGATTAAAGAGCAGGGAACAGAACAACATCCTATGATGGCTCATGTGAGTAAGAAAGGACAAAAATAGTTCAGAACTTATGATCTCCCGTTTGATTGGGCTAGAAGGATTTAAATCTAATCCAATATTGTCATATTTCACTTTCTAATTTTTGTACTTTCTATCATAATCTAATTACAAAAATTCCCACATGTATCCCTATGTAAACTACTCAAAAGAAAATTGTAAATTTATAGCAAATTAACAAAAGATAGATATTTCATTGGGCTTTCATATCTGGACCCAATCCATTGTGTTTTGTCACCTTAGAACAGAAAGGAGAAAGTCCTACTAAGATGAACAAGTTATTAAGAGAAATCAAGGACCTGAATAATAAGATGAAAAGTTTTAGATCTTAGTAGGGGAAAAAACAAAGAGAAAGAATACAGATTGCACCTTTAGAAGAAAAAGACAAAGAAAGAAGATGAACACTCTTGCCTGTAGGTAACTTCAAACAAACTTTTAATTCCATTACTTTAGTTTAAAATTTCAATTACAATTACTCTATTTATAGACTAAACATAAGGGTTCAGATCTCTCTTTACAGATGCCAATTTTAGACTCAAAAACTGACCCAAAACAAATTCTAACTGCTTCAAAACTAAGACAAACTTATAGGTAACCCATAGGGACATCGGACATGCAAGTTGAGACTCTAACTCTTTAAATAACTCCAGTAACACTTAAATAATACTACTAAAACTAAGCAAACTAAAAACAATTCCAAGAGTGGCCCAAAGAAAAAGGACCCGAAACCTTGTCATTAGCTGACATCCTATCACTAGAATGGCCACATCTCCCTCAAAAATGTCGGATTTATAAGGAACCTTGTCATGAACAATACCTTGAAATATATTTTCCTTGTTTATTCTGGTTCTAACAGCCATATTTGGGCAGCCAATTCCAAGGGTGCATTTTCCTGTGCTTGTCTTCTGTTTCTTTTCCCATGGTCCTCCTTGGATGGTGTTCCCTGCAAACGGTGGTGTGGAACAGACTAGCTCCACTTGAAATTAGAGCTTTCTGGAATACTAATCTTACATGCATGTAGCCATTACAATACCCCCTAAACGTCACACCTGCCCTGTTAAATTAGAGAGGGTAGGTGTCTCATTTGTGAGGTTTAGTAAAGGCCATACGCCCTATAGGGCTTTTTTCTAGAAGGTGGTTGATATGGAAATAAAAACATATGAGAACCCTTAAATGAGATGGTCCAGTTGTCTTTATATTGTGAACAATGAAACCAGACACCACTTGCTAATCTCCTATCCTTTTGCATCCTACATTTGAGAGTATTTCTTTTCTTTGTTTGGTTGCAAGTGGATCCCTCCGGAGGATATGAAGAATCTTTGATCTTTTCAAATTCTCTTCATCTAAGAAGCAAGGAAAGATCTAAGGAACGCTAGAGCAGCTATTTTATGGTGTATTTAGGAGGAAAGGAATTATAGAATTTTTTTCCAACAAAAAAAGCTCTAAATCGAAGTTGTTACTGAAAACATCATTGTTTGCATGGTACATTGAATGAAGTCCATGGAAGCATTAAAACACTAGTCCACAAAAAGAAAGAAATAAATTGGCTCCAAGTGGCTCTATTAAAAAAAAAAGTTGCAAGGACCAGTTCTTCCGAGGCTAGATCCCATCTGAAGTCTTCTTGGTAACTACCAGCCCCAAGCTTGATCAAACTAAATTTTGAAGGATGTAGCTTAGGAAACCTGGTATCTTTAGCAGTGAAGGTGTGACTAGAAACTGTGATGGTGATGTGTTAGCTTTGTACTATGTGCCTATAGACACTGGGAACTCTACTAGATTAGAATTTTCAGCTCTATTACATCCTACAAGGAATGAGATTGGCATAGCCTTTGGGTTATAAAGATCTAATAGTGGAAGGGGATTCTAATGTTATTTATTCTTCTTAATACAAGACATTTTTTAAAAGATAAATAAAATTAAAAAAAAAAAAAAACATCTTTTGTGTAGGACTTAAGAACCTAATACCCTACCATGTACTTGTTTGGGCTTGCCTTGAGGGGCTTGATCGGGGTCTGGGGGCAGTCACTGGTCCAGCCACAATGCTTAAAGTACAAACTTTAACAATTGTGCATGCCTGAGCTGAGGCGCAAGACACACCAGACACATGCCTCTTCAAAGGGGCTGCACCTAGGCCTAAGCTAAGTGCAGACCTTAAAATGCACCTCGCCCTTGTGCTCAGGCATGCCATTTAAATCACCCAGACAAACTTATAAGTGACTCATAGACACACTCTATAAGGACTCTCTACTCTTTTCATTTTTCAGGTGACTTCTGGTCATCTTTCTTGTATCTGTTTTTCTTTTAACAAATTTTGTTTTCTATCAACAAAAAAAAAAAAAAAAAAAAACTTGGTACACTTTAATCCTACTAAAACTAAACAAACAAAAAGGCAATTCCACGAGTGACTTGAAAAAAGAAAGAGCCAAATTCCACCATTGACCTACACCCAATCACTAAAATGACCATAACTTCTTCAAAACACGTGGTATTTACAAGATCTTGGTCCCATTGGATGGATAACTCAGTTATCCATCTAATGACACCAAAATCATGAATAAAGGGGCAAATTTTAACTCCTCAAAAATAGGCTGAAAGAAAATGATGACATTACGTTTTTCAACTTTCAAAATTTCAAAATCCCTCCAATAAGACTCTATAAACTAATTTGACCCTTTAAAATAACTAATCTTATTCCTAAGACTCATGAATAAGAAAATAAATTTAAATAAGCTTGAAATTACTAAAATCCAAAACACACAGAAATTACAAATTTGACATTGGTTCAAGAATATGAAGAATCTATGTTTCTTCTTTCATGGATTTGTCCATTGCTTCCATTTCTGCTTTACTAACTCTCCCCTATCAGACAAATTTCAGCCCAGTAGGCTCAATATGATGATCTTGAAATTTTTCAACACTTAGGTTTGTATTGAAAGATCTCAAGAATTTTGTTCATGACAGACTTTCATTCAATATTATCAAGCCAATATTTTATTATTAACGAGCAATTTTGGCTGTTTGTTGTGATGATGAACAGTGATAAAGCAAATATTTGCTAAGGTATCAAGCAATTTTAGCACATTTGACAGATGATCTGAACTGACTGGTTTTGGGGGAAAAGTGCACTTCTAAGAGGCCTGCAAATAGTTATCTTATCAGTTTATTATATTGCCCTGCATCATACAAGTTAAATCCAAAATAGAGATGTGCTTACCCACAAGAGACAAGAGTATCAAAATACATGCACCTAATTCAACTGCTCTTCGGCTTCCCATTTTGGTCACAGCAATAGTATGCACATTTTCAGTAAGGGTTGTACATCCAGTTCCTGTACCCCAGAGACCAGCCAAGACACTAGAAAGTCCTTCAAAACCAATCCCTCGACTAAGAACACCTGGGGTTGGAGGTCTAGATGCCACCAGTAATGATGATGCATGGTATGAGCCAACCTAACAATAAATACCCATACAGAACAGTCAGGATTTCTAATAAAACAAAATATTCATCATGTCCAAAATAAAATAAACACCATTTTGCCACAAGATCCACAATTAAGATGGATTATTTGCTTTATCCTGAATTTTTCTTAACATTCTTATCACTACCTGAAAAATATAGATCAAAGATTTGACTTAACATCATTTGAGGGATGGAGAGATTTTCAAGTGGCTTTGCATCAAGACATGTTTTCAAGTAATGGGAATTTCAAATCATCATCATGCCTGTCTTATGTTCGGTAAAAAGGTAAGATACATATATTAGAGTTAAACAAGAAGATGCAAGAGAAGTCTTATCCTCTTGCTTATCATGAATTATGCCATCCTTATTTTCATAATTATATTTGTGCTTCTGCAGATGCAATTTACATGGCTGTCTGTGTTTTTTTTTTCTTTTGATCAATAACTGGAATTCATTGGATTAAAAGAATTTAGTTACAGCACTCCAAAGAGAGAAAAACAGGCTGTCTGTGTATTTTTTTTTCCTCTAAATATAATTTTGTCACAACTGTGGATGCATTCTACAATCTGGCATCTTATTTCATAACTCTATATATACATTTTTTTCTCTTCAGTAGCCACTTTCAGGGGTGCTTCCAGTACATGGCTAACCTTCCCCAGAGATGCTAACATTCAATCTCATTGTTGGAAGCCTGATGCACAATAAGCCAGACAAAAGAGAATAGGCAATATCAATTATGGTAAAACATGAGGTCATATATAAAATGTCATCAATACTTGGAACAATTTAGAAGTGAAACCAATAAATTGATGATACTATCATGACAACTAATTTAGTGAAGCCAATGCCACTTGCAAGCACAAATCAAAATGAACTTTGGATGGGGGTGGTTAACAAATAAAAGAAAGACAAATCCACAATTTTTCTTTAGTTTTATATCTACTTTTGACTTTGAAATAACTATAAAGGGCTGACTCAACTAAACTATAGGTGCATGAATCCTACTAACAAGAACCATGTGTGGTGGGGTGGTGCATATCTGCTCTAGTAAGCTGAATTTAAAATACAAATAGAAACACCAATGGAGTAAGTTTGCAAATGGTTTAGATTTTGATCCAATTCATATTTGAATGTGACCCATTTGTGCTGGATTAGATATCGGTTTGGTGTAAACAAATTGGATCAAAGACCTACTTTATCTAGTAATCAAATCAAACTGAATTTGAATATTTTTTTTTTATTTCTTTTGAAGGGCTACACAGTGGGGGTAGCCCATCCCCCAACCCAGGTGCAGGTGGGATTCGATCCCAAGTCTCCGCTACGACCAGAAGGAGACCTTACCAACCAGCTGGTTGGCACCTTGCTGGATTGAATTTGAATATTGGTCTTTTTGATCTGTTAATATCTGATTTAATCCAATTAATTATACATAATATAAGATTTTATTAATTATATATAAGACTTCTATGCCCCTCCACCCTCTTCAGGTTTTATGTAAACCTAATGTAATTTCAACTATAGAGGGATCTAAATATTCTATTTAGAAAAATAAAAATCTAATCCAAGAACTAAATGGTTCTAAATAGACATTTATATCCAGTCTGTTGTAAAAGGCATGGGAGGCATACACTTGGAGGCCCGCCTCCAGGCGAAGCGCCCCCAAAATGCCTTGAGGCATAGGCCAGAGACACTGACACCTTTGAGGCGTACACCTCATGCACACCTCAAATAAAAAGGCAAAAAATAAAGAAAAAAGGGAAGGGAAGAATAGATAAGGGGAAAGAAAGTGGGTYAGGGGCTCTACCCCTGGACCCCATGGCTGGGGGACTTAGTCCCCCAGCCCCCATTTCCAATGCAGCCCAATTTGGTTTTTTTCTCCACTTCGACGAGACCCCCCCCCCTTTTCAACTAGTGCCATGCATCTTCATTCTTTTTAATATAAAAGATTTTTATTAAAAATAAAGAAAAATGAGATCTTCCTCTTCTTCCTCCTCCTCATCCCCCTCTTCAAGAGGCTTACGCCTCTGAACTACACCTCATGCCTCTAGGTGGTGGAATGCCTTCGTCATGCCTCGTGTCACGCCTTCGCATTTTAAACATTGTATCCAGCCTGGTCGTTCATTTCGCTTGCTCCCTGAAACAACCAGTCTAATTGAAAAAGTGCACAATTGGGCTGAGGAGCAAGAGGCATGTGAATGTAACATAACCAAATAAGTTCCAATAGTTGCATGCATTGCTCCTTTTTTTGGTAAGTACATGCATTGCTCCTTTGCATATATAATACATAAATTATCTATAATGCCGCATTTTAGTTATATTAACTAATAATTTAAATGTGGCATATTAACTAATAATTACCACATTAATATTAATATGCCACATTTTAGTTATATTAACTAATAATTTAAATTTATTGCATCAAATAAAGTATATATCTGTTTCAAATATATATACACACTAATATATTTATCAATGTACACATCTATATTTGAAAGCTCCTAAGTTTTATGCTCCTACATTCCCACCTTGGCTCCCTTTCCACAATTTGGTATTATCCTGCCCTGCCTGTTAATTCATATCATTTTTAAAATCATAAGCATATGAGTAATGTTTTTAAAGGCGTGGGAGGCATACACCTGGAGGTGCGCCTCCAGGCAAGGCACCCCTAAAACGCCCCAAGGCATATGCCAGAGGCGCTAACACCTCTAAGGCGTATGCCTCATACATTTTTTTCATGAGGCGTGCTAGAGGCGTACGCCTCATGTGCCTCGTATAAAAAGTGCTGTGCATCTTCATTTTTCTTAATATAAAGGATTTTATTAAAAATAAAGAAAAATGAGATTTTTCTTCCTCTTCTTCCTCCTCATTCCCCCCCCCCTGCCTCCTTGTGTTTGGGAGGCCTACGCCTCTTACATTCTGAACTACGCCTCACACCTCTAGGTAGTGGAGTGCCTCGCGTCACGCCTCGGCGTTTTAAAACATTGATGTCTTCTCCAACTCTTTTAATCCACATTCTTTTTGTATTTCATTCTCGTTTAGTCATCTACTTGTGCCAGATCACTCCTGATTGCTACATCACTGCCCTTTCCATCCACATGAGCAAACAAAATCACTTGACTTCCCCTCATCTTGTAACCTATGGGGTCATACCTAGTTCTCCACAACCACAAATAATGTCAGCCTTCTAGTTTTTCCAAGCATCTAACTTGGTGGCCTTTATTCTCCTACAATCATTTTAAGGACATGTTTCTACTTTCTTGACTGCCCAACATTCTCTCCAAGAAAGTATTTTGCTGATTATAATTTTCCTATGAAGTGCAATTTGTGTTCATTACCACAAACACCAAGAAGCACATCTCCACTTTATCTATCCTGATTCAATTCTACGGGCTATAGCATCTTCAGTCTCTCATTTGTTTTCAATTAAAACAACATGGAAGAGAAAATGATTAATTTAGGGTATCTCATTATCTCTTTGGCATCAGTTTTTTTTCTCTCCATATCAATTATGAGAACTCAGTAAATAACAAGGAAAATAAATAAGGATACTGGATATATAACAGGGAAAAAATGGGCCAAGCCAAACCAAATATATATAAAGAAAGCACTAAAATAAACCCAACCAGAACCCACCCAAAAAAAAAAAAAACAATCACCACAAACCCAAAAAAAATACTCAAAAGCAACAGAAGACAACCCACTACCCCATATGAGCAAGAGACTGACATCTTGACACAAGCATCCACTCTGGATTCTGTTAGATCTGGATTCTTGCTTTGAACTTTGAAGTGTGTTGAGACCATAGCATCATTCAAATAGGCACCAAATCAGATAATACCTAGCTATCAATTTCACACTTGGTCAAATTCAAATGAAATATTCAAATTTCCATAAATAAACTGCACAAAATCAGATAATACCTAGCTAAAATTGTGAGAACTTTGAAATGCCATAGTTCTCAAGATGGCCCAAAATCAAAATTAAAAGAATTCCATCAACATTTGAAATCATCATAACTGTACCATGTTCACAGTCCATCTACTCGTAAATAACAGTGTTTTATTTTTAATCAAAGGATATTTTTTTTATCAATAACCAAAGGACATTTATGAAGAACACTTATTTCAATATCTGAAAGTTGCAAGAGGTCAGAAATAAGAAAATGTCAGACAAGGAAAAGAAATGTTATGTGCAATTTAAGGATAACTGATAGTTGGATAGTCAGATACTTCAAGGGTTATCAGCACCAGAGAGTCAGTGTATTTTTGAAAGCTCAGACAGAAAGAATGAACTTACTCCTTGAACACTACTTAAAGGCACATCATTGTAAACCAGAAGGAAGTAAAAAAATGGGCAATGGATTTTCTAGATGAGTTGTCAAGGGTCTACAACACCTCAGCTACATAGATGTAGCACTGAAAACTCAGCTATCAGTTTGAAGGGGCTCTAGTACATGTTAACATAACTTCATACATCAGACCAAACCCCCTTCCCCCACCCAAAAAAGGACAGTAAAAAAGAAAATTAGGCGAGAAGAAAGCTCACTTGATTGACACTTCTTAATTATACTTTTCACTTGCCATTACCAGAATAGAATCAAAACAAAATAAATGGATGGAAAGTGGACATGGACTAGAGCACCAAACACGCATTCAATCGCCATAGTTGACAATGTAGACCATTAGAATTGACCATGCCACCACTCAATATTCCAATTCTTTTCTTTCTTGCTGGAGTTGGTGGTGAGGATATCTAGAGTTGTCAAGAGAACCTTTTTCTCTTAATTCTTGCAAGTTACTCAAAAAAAACTTTAATTGAATGCATCAAGGTTGCACTGGGAATAACATAGAAATCTCAAATAAGTACAACACATGCACATATGGCACAGAACATCAAAAACATAAGGCACAGTTGAGAATAAAAAAAAAGGAACTCCCAAAAGAAAACATCTAATGACACCATTAAGAGACAGGAAACTCACCGAATCAACTGATGCAATTATAGAAACCGCACACATTACAAGAACCATTTTCCAGTCAAACACAGGTGTACCCCATTGTAATGGATATGGAAATCTAAACCACGGGGAAGACTTTAATGCATGAGAAGTATCAACTCTGCAGTGTTTCATCCTGGAAACATGCTTTCTGCAGGCTTCAGATACAATATTTGATGCAGGTATATTCATATCACAACCTTTGTAGTTATAGGCTCCAGTTTCTGTAAGAAGGAAAGCAGCAGCCCATGTGATTGCTAAACCCAATGGAACCTGCATATTACATAAAAGCATTGCAATTACAAACACAGATAAGCAATCACTGAAAAATGAACATGACTAATTTATTAATATATAACTTACTGCATAAATTAGAAATATGCGATGACCAAAGACTGATATTTTACGGAGATACTGCAAGAGTGAAAAGCATTAGACAATCTGTCAAAAACCATAGTATCACAATAAATGGTAATATCATTTTAAAAAATAACATGAACAGGTAGAACCAATGCAAGCTACTCCATACTTACAAGTGAAAAAATAACAACCAGTAATATCTGCACAATACCGATTTCTAGACAGGTACCCACTTGTGGGAAACCATAACTATAGAAGGAAAGCCCAACTGCAGCTATAGTTGGGGATACAACCACTGGATTGATGAACCTAAAAAAGAATCAATTGCACAAGGATAAGCCAGTCAGATATGCTAAGAACCTAGAACTCACTGCAGCAAGCTAATATGTGTGTGTGCTTAATTTAGAGACCCAAGATAAGTGATTTATCAACATAATGATGTATGCACATAACCCTTTTTTTTTTTTTTTTTTTGGGGGGGGGGGGGGTTAAAAGCCATAACCTGAAGTTATTATGTCAAATTTCTGATGTATGCACAAGTAAAACTAAGTCAGCTTTTCTATTCCCCTTGCTCTTCTATTCCTTAACCTTAGCCTCATTAGGAACACCGGGAAAGGAAACAAGCTTAATAGAAAGAATAAAGATAAACTATGGATGCAAAATAATTAAAACAATGGAACTAATTCGACCTAGGAAAGAAGCCACTGTTTGATGGTAAGGATCTTGTCTAAGGAGACTATCTACGTATATAAGCAAATTTTGGTAGGAAGACATGGAACCAAATCCATTTCCAGGGTGTTGAGGAGAATAGATTTCTTGCATTTGAGGCAGTAGGATAGCTTAGTATTTCCTCTCTTTTATTAAGGGCACTCCTGTCCAGAATTTATCAATTATCATAAACAGGGGTATTTTTGTAAACATCTTTGTTTACATTAATATAAGTAGTGGGCCAGACTGGTTAAGAGGGTTAGATGCTTCTAATCTACTCTCTAATCAGTTCGACTGTGTTCTCTTCTTTCTCCTTCCTATTTATCTTCTTTCTCTGCTCTCTTCCTTTTTCTTTTCTCTCCCTCCTCCTTGCTGATCAGAAGTAGTGTCTGTTTCCTAATCATTCAGGTGTTTCCTAGTCATCAAGACAGTGCCCACGCTTGAATTCAAAGGTTCTGAAATTAGATGGTGTTACAGTGAGGACTGGCCTGCCTTTTCACTTATGGTAGCAATCAACTTTTGATTCAATAGTTTCGGTCTGTGGGGGTTGCTAAGCAGGTTATTTTGCTAGAGACTTACATTCGACAGCATTGAGATTGGAGGGAGTGATGCCTGAATGGATCCCCAGGAAGAGTGAAGTGTTCTCTGATGGAACAGGCCATAGTGTCCAGCTTGCAACCTCTGTTAAATTGAAGCTTCTCTGTGGAGAGAAGGTTGCAGGCTGGACTACGAACAGGTTGAAGAAGATGATCTATGTGGCTAGAAAAGATTGGTTAATTCAAATTGCATAAGAAGTTTTTCAAGATTGAGAATGGAGAACCTAGAGAAGAAAAATTTTGCGCTCCAATTTCATAAAAATAGTAGAGAGTCTTGGCGCAGGTGCAATGGGCAAGTGTTGTCCAATGGATAAGCTGAAGCACCTTTCACCTGGAAGAGTATTAATGTGCTAGGCAAGAAAAGGAGTTAAATAGACAGATTGGCATAAGGGGTTTGGCCAATAATTTTGATAGTGAAAGTCAGGCATCTCACATGTGTAGGCACAGGAAACCACTTCAGGAAGGATCGAGTTCTCAGGCATGTAAAATAGATAAAGTTGAACATGTAGTGGGGCGACCCAATACAAGCAGACCAATTTTTAGTCCACAACTGGCTAGTTTAGACCAGGAGGCACATGGTTACTTAAATAGTCATGTGCGTGGATAGGGAATTAGCAGATGCAATGGAATATATATAATTGTCCCCTCTAAAGTCTTCCGTAATCAGTAGTTTTTTTTTTTTTTTGAGAAAAGGTAAAGAATAATTGTATTAATCAACTGGTCCTTTGTACAATGAGAAGCTGTACAAAACATAAACAAAAGGACCTCAAAAAAAGGCCACCATCAGTAGGGTTTGTTTTAGCTACTGAGTCCCATGGCAACCATATCCAAGTTGTAGATCAGTGATCCCTGAAGAAGTTAACCCTGCCATTATTGGAAGGAAAAGCAATGAAGAGGATCATGTCTTAGCAAGAAGTAAGGGTTCTGCTATTCAAAAGAAGCAGGCAAGTGAAATTCTAAGAAAGTCTAAGAGACGACCAATGTGGAGGTTTTGAGAAAGGAAAATGGTTTATTTTTAAGAAGCATCTTAGAAAAAGATGCAGTAGAGTTATCAAAGAAAAAAGGTGCGGTAGAGTTGGAAAAGAGAAGAGAAAGATTGGGAATTTGTGAAACGGTCTTCATTCAGTAGGGATGCTTGCATTTTAAAGGACAAAGGATTCTTATGGAAAGACAAGGAAGAAAAGTTGGTGGCTCCAGATCTTGAGTTGGAAGAAAGATTACAAGAATTTGCAGCCATGCAGATGTAAACACAACATTGTTAAAGATGGTGGGACCGCAAAGGAATCATTAGGCAACACAGGTGAAGAAGGAAGAAGAAGTAAGGGTTTCAGGAAATCACACAAAGGAAGTTTTGGTGTTCGAAGAGATGGAAGGCAAAGATAAGAAAGGAGCAAAAAAGGAGGGGTGTCAATCCAGAGGATGGTTTGGAACCTGGGTATAGTGACTGCAAGGAGAAAGAGATAAAAATGTACAAGCATAAAAAGAGTTATAGAATAAAACCATTAACAGAGGATGAAGAAAAAGAAACTAAAGGTTAAAACATTGAGAGAGTGAGTCATCAGAGGAAAGTGAAGAATATTGAGAAGATTCCTAATGGCTAATGCAGTCAAAAGGTTCAGACCTCAAAGAAAACAACGCATTTTCCAAGTGTCGAGAGTCTTTGCCAGATTGAAGATGGGATTATTTGGGATTGGGCCCATTAAGAAAGTGAAGAAAACAAGAAAAGCAGAGATGATTGTGTTCGAGATTCAGGAAAAGCTGATTAATTGGGTATTGTTATTGGGGATTTTGTTGAGCTTTTGGTGGGTGTAGGGTAGCAAGTGTTTGAAGGTGGGTTGATCTTCAGCAGGTGGTTCTTTTTTTATGAGGTTTATATGTATTTGGAGTGTGATTGATCTACTTCTATGGGATTTGGATAGTTTGTGTAGGAGAGGGAGGGTTGTTGGTTTTTTCTTTTTGCTTGTTTGTGGTGATATCTTATGACCTCTCTCGTACTCCTCTTTTCTCTTAATAAATTTTCTTTTTTATTTATTATCAAAAGAACAATCAGGAATTGGATTCACAGAATGGCTTGGTTGGATCCTCATATTCCTCATTTGGAACATGTAAACTAAAGGTTACCCAGCTTCTATTGTAAACTCGCTTCAGATTTTGTGTTCCTTTATCATGTAATAGGCTGTTCCAAGCAAGCAATTATTTTATGATTTTAGATTCATGAACCCTCTGACTTATTTCATAATCAGAGATCTTAGATTCCTCAAGCTGTTATTATTACAACATACATTTTTGCATTAAAATCACTTTTGGGTTGAGTTTATGTCCAATTAGTGAGCCCATCACGTATAGACTACCATGTGTTTTGCATCAAAGCTGAGCAAGGTGGGCTCAACCAGAGTCCTGGCAAATGATAACTCAAGCCTTAGCTCATCTGTCCGCTGATACATGTTAAGCAAGATGAGAGTAGTTAAGTTTAACGTAGTTAAATGAGAACAAGCAGAGACAGATTTGTATTATTAGAACAAGTAAAGATAAAGGTATTAATAAATCTCAGAAAGACAGATGTAAAGATGTCAAGAATCACACCTCAGCAAGACTGACATGAGTCCACTATACCCCAGAAATGCTTGAAATGCAGAAGATATAATTATAGCACCCTGTAAGTGCTTCATTATATGCTTGAAATTCTGCAATATTAAATCATTTTTAATAAGTCCAGTTGAACATTCTACAACAAAGAAGCAGCACCATGCAATGTTACTGTAAAAATAGAGATAAGCGGAATGTAGAAGAAAACAGAAACAGTAATTGTTCCTGATCCTGAGGATGCATCCATCAATGCTCTAAGCTGAAGTCAGCTAAAAACTTAGGCACTTCGCACAAGTAAGGTATAACAAGAAAGATGCAACAAATTAAAGGTCAAAACTTTGATTGCCTTAATTTTTACTTTAACTTTAAATTATGGCTAAATATTAATTATCATTGTTCCCCATACCAATAATTATTTTGGACAGCTTTGGAGACCAAAAAACTTTGCATCCGTGCCATATACAAGGAAACACTGTAACCAACCTATTCCCCAGTCGCAAAATAAAAACCTTAATCCACCTCAGATAATTATATTCTGAACTCAAGCTGAAGAAACATTATCTCAGTTTTTTATAAATAAAATGAATTCTAATCAAAACCTCAATATCTCTCAACATTCTTATAGACTTGGTGGGAACACCTAGATTTAGACTGAAAAAAAAAAAAAATCACATCTGCAAATCAGGTGGGAACAACACCTTCAAAATATAGGTTCCTCAATCAATGGAACTTTTAATAAGTTTGGGAGATTAGAAGAAAGAAAGGCAAAACTGATAAGCAGAATTGAGGAGATCAATAGAAAGGAGGGAGGGGCTTTAAAGATAGGGGAGGAGGAAAGACTAAATTTGAAAGGAGAATTAGAAACTACGCTCCTAAGAGAGGAAATAACTTGGAAGCAGAAATCAAGAGTGTGATGGATTAAAGAAGGGGATGGGAACACCAAATTCTTCCACATGATAGGAAATGGGAGAAAAAGAAAGAATCAGATCTCTATGCTAGAACTGGAAAATGGAACTTTAACAAATCAGGACAAGATTGCTAAGGCCATGGTGGATCACTTTAAATCAATTTTTAGAAGGCTCACATCAGGAAGATGGGAGTTTGAAGGATTGGAGTGGTCAGCAGAAATCTAGAGAGATGTTTTGAGGAGAGTGAAGTGAAAGAAGAAGTTTTCTCAATGGATCGAACTAAGGCACCCGGGCCTAATGTATTCACGATGGCTTTCTATCAAGACTGTTGGGAGTGATGAAAGTTTTTCGAGGAATTCTATCATAGAGGGGTTGTCAACCGAGGTGTTAATGCTACCTTCATAGCACTGATCCCAAAGAAATCTGGAGCTTGCCACCCCAAGGACTTTAGGCCAATCAATTTGATAACAAGCCAATATAAGATCCTAGCCAAGGTTCTCTCCCTAAGGCTAAAAAAGGTCCTACCAGCAATCATCTCTCAGTTTCAAGGGGCTTTCATCCAAGAAAGGCAAATTTCAGATCAAATTCTAATAGCTAATGAATGTGTGGAGGATTTCAGGAAATCTGGAAAGAAAGGCATTGTGTGTAAAACTGCAAATTAGATTTAGAGAAAGCCTATGACTTTGTGGATTGGAGTTTTTGTTGGAGGCTCTTAGGAAGTGTGGATTTGGAGCAAGATGGTGTAGGTGGATTAAAGGATGTTTACAGACCTGTCATTTCTCAGTATTAGTCAATGGAGTAGTAAAGGACTTTTTTAACGCTAAAAGAGGAGTGAGACAACTGATCAAAAAAAAAAAAGAGGAGTGAGACAAGGAGACCCTCTATCCCCCTTCCTTATTAAGATCTTAGCAGAGGTGCGTAGCAGATTGATATCAAAGGCGAATGAGATAGGTATTTTAAAGGGCTGGAGAGTAGGAAGGGAGAGTGTGGTGGTAACTCGTCTTTAATTTGCGAACGGCATCATCGTTTTTTGTGAAATTGGAGATGAGGTGGCTGCAAGGGACCTAAGGTTGGTGGTTAATCTTTTTGAAAAAGTGACAAATCTGAAGGTGAACCTCAACAAGAGTGTGGTAGCTGGGATTAACTTAACCCAAGAAGAGGTCAATGTTTGGGCAGAGAAATTAGGTTGTCTGCGGAGTGAGTGGCCTTTGAAATATCTAGGACTCCCCCTAGGTGCAAACCCAAAAAATTTAGGATTCTGGGAACCAGTACTGGAGAGGTTTGAAAAGAAGTTGGCAGCATGGAAGAGAAATTATGTTTCTTTGGGGGGTAGGATCACTCTTATTAGGGCCACCTTAGCAAATCTCCCAGTTTACTATCTCTCAGTGTTTAGTATGCCTCAAGCTATTGGGAAGAAATTAGAGAAGATAATGAGGGATTTTCTATGGGAACCTGATGAGAAGAAGAGAGATCATCTAATTAGATGGGAAGTAGTGACTAGAAGGAAGGAATTGGGAGGATTGGGTCTTGGAAGACTGAAGGAGAGGAATGAGGCCCTGTTGGGCAAGTAGTTATGGAGATTACTAAGTGAGACAGGCAGACTTTAGCACAAAGTGGTAACTAGTATACACCATGGAAGGCAATTCACAAACTTCTCCCTTCATTTCTCAGTCATATCAGATTTGATCTCAACTCAAGTAACAAAATCAAATTCTGGGAAGATATTTGGGTGGGGGACTCTTCTTTAAAAACCTTATTCCCTTCAATTTTTGCTCTCTCCTCCCTCAAAGTTAGACCAATTGCTAACTTCCTTGCCCCTTCCCCATCCCTGTCCGGTCTAGCCTGGAACCTGGGACTTCGTAGAAATGTGAGGGATTCAGAATTGGGCTCATTGTCCTCTCTACTCCAGCTGCTCGATGGGGTGTTTCTAGACACTTTGAAACAAGACACTAGATTTTGGGCTCCTCATCCTTCAGGAGTTTTCAGTTGCGCCTCCTTTTTCAAGCCCTTGTCTTCTCCTGCCCAACCTGGGGTACCCTTCCCTTTACAAGAAGTTTGGTGTCGACCTATCCCCCACAAAGTGGGTGCCTTTTGTTAGGAGGTCTATCATAGCGCAATTAACACTAGTGATCTGATGCAAAGGAAAAGACCTGGTTGGTGCCTTTCACCAAATTGGTGTTGTTTGTGTAAGTCAAATGATGAGAATGCCTTTCATATTCTTGTCTCCTGTCCTCTTGCTAGTTGTGTTTGGGATTGGTTTTTCTACCTTTTTGGGTGCAGGTGGGACACCCCGTTGAGCTTGGAAAGATTGTTTGAGCCAACTACTTTTAGATGGCCAAAGCGAAGAGGGAGAATACTGTGGTGATGCACAAGGGCAGCAGTGCTATGGGTACTATGGGAGGAAAGAAATCTGAGAATATTTGAAGACAAGGAAAGATGCAAGGAAGAACTAATAGAAAGTATTATGACAAAGGTGACTTCATGGGTGAAAACACTAAATTTATTCTCAAATTTTACAGTGGATGTAAGAAATTGGAGGACAGTTGCTAGCTCTTCCTCGGCAAAGAAGAAGGCCCTGAATGGGTGCCCCCTAAATCAGGTTTTATCAAATTAAACTTTGATGGCAGCAGTTTTGGAAACCCAAGAAGATCTGGAATTGGAGGGGTTACAAGAAATGAAAGAGGAAATGTGTTGGGGATGTTTTCAGGTCCCATTGGAATTGGAAATTCCACTACAGCTGAACTGAAGACAATGGTATATGGGATACAAAAAGCTAAGGAGATGGGGGTGGAAAAGCTGGTTGTGGAAGGGGATTCCGAAGTTATCATCAGTTGGCTAAAACAACAGGACAGCACACCCTGGCTATTCAGAAAAGACATCAAGAAGATTAAAAATCTATCCAAGGGCATGCAACTGTCAATTAGGTGGACTCCTAGAGCAGCAAATGGATTTGCAGACCAGCTAGCAAACAAGGGGTAAACAGGGATCACTGTTTCTGGGCTCAACTGTAAGAGTGAAAAATCAACTTAATAGTGGATACAGTACATTGTAGTGGGACAGCCGAGGCTACTCAAAACTGTAACCCCTGTAATTCTATTTTTCATCAATGAAATTTGTTTTTATTGATCAAAAAAAAAAACACAATGGAACTTTTAGGAATGGAACGCCCCAGGTTTAACAAGGGTTTCAAAATCCTGGGATTGGAAAATGAGATTTTGCCATTTCATCGATTTGAGTTTCATAAATTAATGAAAACGAAATCATCCAGATTGGCAAACAAACTCTAAGATTGTCAAGCTACATTCTCTCAAGAAGGAAAATACCTAATGGACTGTTTGTGATAATGACTTATAAGTACATGTAACATGTAGGATTAATCCTATAGGATATGGCCTATAAGGTAGCAGGCTGCATTGCGAAGTATAAAACTGGGCATATCATGTTTCTCTTGTTGATACAGTAAATAGTCCAGGAAATATCACCCTAAAAGGTTTTCATTGCACCCATTTCCATAGCAAATTCTTTGGTTTGCCTCTCTGTAAATGTGTTGCAAGTGAAAGCGCACACTCAACATGCAAACAAGTGCTTTATCACTACTGACCATGGAAGAACTAATCGGTACAAACATAAACGGGTCAAAAATGAATCTAATATGGGAGAGGAGAAACTTACGTTTCCATTCAGCCCTTGGAACTCAGGAGAGTTAATTATCACCAGAGCTGGAGCAAGATATACAAATGATGGACCCTGTATCAACGGCAACCTTGAACCGAAGAATGTGTGCAACAGAGTCGTCACTCCCGATACAAACATCACGGTGGACACTACCATTGAAGTATCCTCCTGACACTCACTAATTCCCATTAGACAAAATAATCTACAAATAAACTCACGTTAACCGAACAGATCTTCATAAAACTAATTTGAGTCTGGAATAAATACTCACATGACTGCCACCCATTGCTGGGATTATGACCAGTGGAATGAGAATCAAGGAGCCTAAAATGGAAATGTAATGCTGCAACCCATATAGACTAATTGGAACTGAAACATTTTAAAGCGGAATCAGTCACAAAATAAACTCAACATAACCATTTCAGAAAAAAAAAATGTTGCCTGCAACAAAAGAAAATCATTTTACAATCGTCTTAGAAAAAGAAAGAAATTATTTCAGAAAGCTCACCAAGGCCAGGGGTATCTCTGAGCTCATACTTCATATGAGAATGACGAGCTACAAATGCTTCGTCATTGACAACTTGAGGCAAAACATCGACAACCTCTTCTTCCCGACTAGGCTTCGGAGGAGGTTGCGGCGCAGGGTCCGACCGGACCTGCCCATTGGGACCCGGTCCAGCACTCTTCCCTGCTCCTTCTGAATCCCTCCTCTTCCTAACCGACTGATCTCTATCAGACGAAGGCCGCATTTTTTCACTCTCGGGCTCACCATTTCCAGCGGGAGCTGGCCGACCTCGACCTGCTTCGAGATCCACCGGAAACTCAGACTCCTTCGGCTTCGGTGCTGCCACAATCTGGCCAGAATCACTGGCATTCGTCTCCCCGGAGAAYCTTGTTCTGAACCCAGTCCTTTTCGCCCACGATGACTGCATTGCCGGCTGCTCTCCCGCCGGCGGCCACGGCCCCGGGCGGGGACGTTTTGTTGAGTCTGAACTCGCCATTTCCCCCGGCGAGCTAAAGCTGCATCACTGTACACGAACTGCGTAGATATCCGTAGATCTGATCGCTGTTAAGGGTTGTTTCCAAACAAGTGCCCCGATCACCTGATACTATAATCTGATAGGGTTCTCACAGAACCTTAGGGCTTACAGAGAGAAAGCTGTTCCTCGATGAACTGCGAGCCCTCACTACTGAGAGAGAGAGAGAGAGACGTGATGTGGGGGTGCAGAAACGCCAAAAAAGCAACAACTAATGGTGATGTTGGCGTAGAGACTTGAACAGAGAGAGATGACCGAGACGATACCCGTTTTTTCTCTCTGTTTGTCTGTGTGTTTTGTCTTGAGAAAGGGATGTAATGAACTGTCTAATTACTGATTTGTTATTAACTAATACCTGATTAGACTTAAGAGCTTGAGTGTGTTTATTACTTATTAGCTGTGTCGGGATTCTCCATAATAAGCTAGTTTTGGAGGGAATCGTCTGGGTATAGCCATCTGCATGTGCGCTACCTGTACGGTTGTGAGACAGCTAGAGGATGTATAATCTATGACATCCAACTGCAACTTGGCCTTTCAAATTTTCCAAGAATTCCATCAAGCGTTGATTGGGTTGACAGTGAGGTAAGTGTTCTGATTAGTCTGATTTGGGATCCAATGCCCATTCAGGTAACGCTCAGCCAATAACCAGCCGGATTCGATTCGGGTGAGTTTGTCAGTTCAAGTGGCCACTTTTTCGGTCCAACCTTGATTGACTTGCCAGGGGTTGGGCCATCACTAGGCCCGGATAAAAGGAACAATGTTTCTTTCTGGATTAGGATGGGACCAGACTTCTGAGCCGGGTTGGACCAGTAATAAATCCGTTGATGGTCTGGTCAGTGTCAAACCAATTCGTGTGGTGTGGATAATAAATGGATAAATGATAATGCCAACGGACCAGACGGTTGGATTGACAGAACCATCCAAAGTCCAAACCAGATGGCTTAATAAATGCTACTTTTCTATGGGAATCATCCGTTGGGCTGTCGAATTAGAATTGAACCAAAGTGGTCCCTTTACGGTTCGTCGTTATTCAGGGCTCTTAGTCATTTTCCGGGAGAAAAAATCCAGCAAACTTTCCATTATGAAAAGGATTTGACTGTAGAAGACCCATTCCCACCTTTAATTCTGCCTCTGATTCTGGGCGCCCATTGCCCAACTTCAATTTATAGGGCTGTTTATTTTGGGCCTCATTAACTTCCACACCAAACAGATCCTACTTTGTTTCCAAGCTTTTAAATGCTAACATAAATAAATAAATGGGCTTTTAATTTTGGTGGGGTAGGGGGAGTGGTGGTGATTAAGATACTAACGAGTAACAAACTTCTTTAGAGTCCACAGACCACAGCTTTACCCCCAAACCCAGAACCCATTTGTGTTTGGGCCCACCACAAGCTTGTGTTGTGGCAATGATTAAGGATAATAATAATCCGTTTAAACTTATTGCACTGTTGGGCTGGGCCTGGGCGCGGTTGGTGAATGAAGTGAAACCCCGTTATAGCACGTTGTATCTCCAGATCTTTACACGTGGAAGAAAGTTAGAATGCCTTATAAGCCCCACTCTACCATTTGACGAGATGGGCCGGGCGTTCGGGTCCACTACAACTCTTCCTGTAAAACTGRATCAATCGTAATACATCACGTCAGGTTCATAGCTGACTTGGTGTATCATGATTGGGTCAGCATCCTCGAGTAAAGGATTCAGGGAGGGGCCCAGTGGTACAGTGGTATGGATGTTTGCTTGTCTGCCACGTGCAGGACCCAAGTGGGAATAGATGGAGGTTGGAGCTTGATGGATCCAAAACTGGGAAAAAGGGTCGTCTTTTGGGCTAGCTGGATAAGAGCGTGAGGAGTGGAGCCCACATGGGAAAGCAATGGATTTGGCCTGCTAAGTGCAAAGTGCTAACAATCAAGGGAGAGAAGGAGAAAATGACCACTTTGTCCTCGTCACTGCTATATTTTATTCGAATTCGGATGTTAGGATATTGGGGAAAGCCGCCGCCGTTAACACAGCAAATCTGCAAATCCTTGGTGTCGTCAGTCTGTGGCTCTGTGCTTTCTTTGAAAGAAAAAGTAAGAAAATCTATACAAGATGGGATTTATATGAAATGGGATTCAGTCAGTGCTAAGCCCGTTCAAACAACTATCATATCCTTGCATTGGGAATATATCTCATGAAATAAAGTATAGTACGGAGATATTTCCGATGTAAGGCTGTTCGAATAGTGTTTGAATGGGCCTTACATTGATTGAAGCTGATCTCCATTTATATGGGTTTCTTTACCTTTTCCTTCAAACCAAATACAGCCTTGGGGATTCCTGTTCTTTTGTTGATGACCTTAGATACTGATGTAAATATTTTGATCCTTGGTCTAGGGAAGGGTTGTAGGGTACAATTCTGTCCATGTTTAGATCAGTTGATAATCCTACTTAGGGGTGTCAATTGATTGGTTTTGATTTGGATCTAATTTGATCCAAACCTTAACGAATCAAATTTGGACGGTCTATTATAATTATTGGATTGGGCCAATCTAAAATAAATTGGTCCATATTCTTATTGGTTTGAATTGGGCCTAAACCAAATTTCCAATAATTCGATAAGAGGTCAAACCTTGTCCAATTTGAAATCAATCAAAACTGAAGTCAGCATAAAATCACTTTTATGAAAGTAATTTTACGAAAACACTTTTACAAAAGTAATTTTATGAAAAGTATTTATACAAAAGCACTTTTATGAAAAGTATTTTTACAAAAGCACTATTATGAAAAGTATTTTTACAAAAGCATTTTTACATAAGTACTTATGGAATCACTTTTACAAAAACAGTTTTATAAAAGCACTTTTACAAAAGTACTTTTACATGAAAGCACTTTTATGAAATCACTTTAAAAAAAAACTTTTACGGAAGTACTTTATAAAAGTACTTTACAAAATCAATTTTATAGAAGTATTTTTATAAAAGCACTTTTATGGAAGTACTTTTATAAAAGCACTTTTATGAAAGTACTTTTATAAAAACACTTCTATGAAGTACTTTTATGAAAGCACTTTTACAACAGCACTTTATGGAAGTACTTTTATAAAACCCAAGCCATAGTTGATATCTTTTGATATATATATATAGATGTATGCACATATATGGGTTGTGCTGCGGGCCAGGTCGGGCCAGCACGCAGCCCGCGGGTGGCATGACCCGCTCGGTCGTGTCGTATCGGCCTGGCCCACGAACCTAAAACCTAAGCCCAACATGGCTCACACAATCGTGCCGAGCTTGGCACGGATCGATTTACATCTCTACCTGTCCCTCCCTTGGGAATGAAATCCCATTCCTACTACTTTCAATTTCTATTCTTATTTCTATGTGAACCAAACTAATTATGAAAAGAGACAATTCCAATTTCGATTCCAAAAGATTTCAATTCTGATTCCAATTTCAATTCTAACTGCAAACAAAAAAGACCCTAAGAAGATAGTGTGAATCAACATCCTAGAAAATATTTATGGGTGTAAGGTTTTGCTATACAGTGTACCACCTTGTTACAACTTCTACTAATATTAGATCTCTATCTCTTGCAAACAAAAACTCTCTACACATAGCATACAATACAACCATATATTGGGAATATGTTTCATACATGTGACAGGATATATCCCCAATGTGCGGCTGAATTCCCATGCTTGTAAGGAATCCTGTCAGTAATCAATGGGTGATCTTTGTCACTAGCTCTCATAGCATCCAACCAACAAGGATGGTATTGATCTGCCAGGGTGTGTAAGGTTTTAATTTGGTCCTAATAAAGTCAATTACCGTGCACCAAAATTTCATTACAAACGTGTGGATATGAAACTGTATTTTTTCTAGGATCCATTGATATTTGAGAAGGTAACCAAGTTCTAAAGCAAACCCCAATTAATGATCAAGGGACTGCAACCACTATAAAGGCCATAGAAGATTTTACCTAAGATAAGAATGAGCGAGTGTGAGTGAGAGAGAGGATCTATCGCAATAAAAAAGCATGCTGATATGCTGCCAGCATGTTAATCCAGCCATGCCTTGGGAACATCTCTCATGAATAATAGCTTACAATTGTGAATGTATGTGAGGAGCCTAGATCTCCCAAATGAAAAGGCGGTGTTTGGCATCGATGTCATTGCTTAAAAAATAGTTCTACGTCTATGCCACATCAGAAAAAAACCGTGCATCAAAGAACACAATTTGTTTGGAATTGTTGTTCTAGAAAACAGTCACATCTTGGGATTCACGAAAGTGTGGTTCATAAAAACGTTGAATTTGGCATTTTTTCATTTTCGCAACTGTTGCTGCCAACAGTACCCGTGACATAGCATCATGTAAACCATTAGATATATGAACCAATGCTGAAAACAATTATAGATTATTTTGTACCAAATAAAACATGTTCCTTTCCACAGAAAACATCCTATGTGGCAGCATCTATGCCAAACAAAAAAAGAAGTTGTTTTCTTAGAAAACAATGCAACAGATACAATACCGTATTTTCAGAAAATGGCTCTAAAGCAATGCATCTATGCCAAACACTTACAAAAACTTTGCACATATAGAATTCAACTACACATTGGACTTGTACATGCTTAGTTTGGAAAGGGTACGAATACAAATATGTACAGTGCAAATGCACACAAAATAATACAAAATATAAGGTTTTGCACTCTACACACTTGTATTTGCACTCCTTCCAAACTAAGCCTAATGTGAGACTGGCTGCTCATGCCTTTAAAGTGTGTATCCAAAAGTTTTTTCTTTCAAGGGATCCTATCATTTAGGAGAGATGTTTCTAATGTGAGATTGGATTACCAAAAGTGGGAATGAGACCTATTTCTTAAAAAAGATAAATGCAGGGATGCTAGCATATCTACTTAAGTTGTACCTCTGTTTAGACCCGGTTTTAGTGGACCATGATTGGATCTTCTTTAGGCTGCATTTTGTTGTAATGCAAATTCCAATTTTATGTAAATAATTACTTTGGTCATGTATTGTTGTCATTTATTCATAGCATAAATTTGTTGCAAAAATCGATGTAAACATGTAAAGTTATCAGACTTCCCCTCAATTTTTTTTTTCACAAAAAGAGCAGCTTCACTTATATTACTTCATTGCAGATATCTATACAGTGGCAGACTGACTAGGATTGTAGTTTATGACCATTTGTCCTTTACAAGCAGAATAAGCCAGTGCATGAGCAACTCTATTTAGACTTCTATTGATCGAAAGAAATCCTTGATCAAGGCACAAATATCCTCCCCCACAATATTCC